TTCAGATTCCCCTGGAATTGGAGTTAAGGACGGTTTGTAGCCACCATGTGGGTGCTGGGAATCGAACCTGGGTTCCCTGCAAGAGCAGTCAGTGCTCTTAACTGCCGAGCCGTCTCTCCAGCCCCTGATTATTTTGTTTTATTTTGATGGTGGTATTGGTTTGAACTCAAGACTTTTTACATGCTAGGCAACTGCTCTACTACTGAGTTACATTAGTATTTTTCTTTTTAAAAATTCTTTTGATTTATTTTTATTTTATGTGTATGGGTGTTTTACCTGCATATAAGTGCACCATGTGCATGCAGTACCTGCAGAGTCCAGAAGAGGGCTTCCTTAGAACTGGGGTTATAGATGGTTGTTTGGCACCATTTATGTGCTGGGAACTGAACCTGGGTCCTCTGGAAGAGCAGTCAGTGCCCTTAACCCCTGAGCCATCTCTCCAGTCCCCAGTGTTTTGTTAAATTTTGGTGGACTATTTATGTTGTGAACTTATCTTTTAAACCGTTTTAAGTGTACAGTTCAGTGTTATTAAACAATAACTCCCCATTCCCTCTTCTCTAGGGCTGGGTAGCTACAACTGTCTTATCTCATTTAACCTAATATTTTCAAGGTTTGGTCTGGTGATTTATATATCTGTTCATGAGACCAGGGTTTGCTCTGTGACCCAGACTGGTCTTAAACTGTGACCCTCTTGCTTCAGCCTCTCAAGTGCTGGGATTATAATCATGTACCACACACCTGGCTTATTTTTTCATGCTAAGGGGGTCTTGAAGGAATTTTTAAAAAATTTTAGTTATTATTTTTATTTTATATGTATGCGTGTATTGCCTGCATGTAGGTAAGTTCACCCGTGTCGTGCAATACCCATGGAGGTCACACGAGGCTGTTGGATCCCCTGGGACTGGAGTTAGCTGCTATGTGGGTGCTGGGATTTGAACCTGGGTCTTCTTCAAGAACAACCAGAGTTCTTAACCGCTGAGTCATCTCTCTAGCCCCCAGTCTTGAGGAATTTTTAAAAAACTATTTTTCAGGGCCAGGCATGGTGGTACACGCCTTTAATCCCAGCACTTGGGAGGCAGAGGCAGGTGGATCTTTATGAGTTTGAGGCCAGCCTGGTCTACATAGTGAGTGCCAGGACAGCTGGGTTACAGGGAGATATTTTTCAGATACAAGATAAGGTTTTATAGTTTCACTTTAGAAAACAGGATTGCCTTCCTGACAATTTAACTACTTGGGCTAGGAATGTAGCTCATTGATTGAATAGTTACCTAGCAATGTTTGAGGACCTGGGCTCAATCCTTAGTATAGAGTAAACAAATGCAAAACACAGACACCCAACTATCCTCCCACAAAAGCAGCAATAACAACAAAACAAGCCAAGAGCTACTTCAAGGAAAGAAGGTAAACAGTGGCGCTCTCTCTCTCTCTCTCTCTCTCTCTCTCTCTCTCTCTCTCTCTCTCTCTCTCGTCTTTGTGTCTGTGTGTGTACGTGTATGCGTTTCTGAGTGTGTGTTCCATGGGCTCCTTTCCAAGTATCAGCATATTTTCTAATTAAGATTTTTGCTATTATACTTTTATAACCTTATCTACAATGGACTATCAAGTTAAAATTTTTAGCTTTTCTCACAGATTTTTTTTTTGTAGTAACATTTGTAATTTTTATCTGTAGTCTTTCCTTTTTCCTTTGAAAAATTTCTATATATTTACATAATCTTGCTTGCATTGTTCTACTTACACACTTAGACTGAACACATTATTTTACTTACACATTTTTGTATGTTGGGACTGGGGAGATGGTTCAGCTGTTAGGAGCACTGGCTGTTCTTTCTGAGGACCTGGGTTGGGTTCCCAGCACCCGCATGACAGCTAACAACCATTAGCTAGGATTTAAGTGCTAGGATTAAAGGCATGTGCCACCATACCTGGCCAAAGAATTATTTGTGGTTTTTCTTTTTTTTTTAAGAATATTATTTTTATTTTATGTGTATGAGTATATTGCTTGCACCTGTACAAGTGCACCTGTGTCGTGTATTGCCCTCCGAGGTGAGAGGAGGGTATCAGAGTCCCTGGAACTAGAGTTATAGATGGTTGTTAGCCACCATGTGGGTGCTGGGAATTGAACCCATGACCTCTACAAGAGCAATCAGTTCTTTTAACTGCTGAGCCATCTCTCTAGTCCTGAGTTACTTGTTTTCTATGTGTGTATGAATGCATGCCGTGTGTGTGGTGCCCCTTTTATGAGTTAGACTGGGACAGAAAATGGCAAAAAAGATGCCTGTGCTGGACAGGGTATAAGAGAGCAGACAGAATAAGACTTAAAAATTCAGTTAGCCAAACTTTGTGTGGGCTGAAGTTGTGTGGGGTGATTTAGAGGTTGTTGAATGAAAGTAAGGATGTTTGTGTGATTATTATGGCTACTTGAAAAAGAGAAAAGTGATTGAACCATAGCCAGAGATGAACAGTTGTGATAATATGAATGGAAAATACGGGATTTAGTAGCCAATTAAATATAAAGGCATCCAAATGTCAGTGATCTGTGAGAAAATTAAGTGAAGAAAAATTCAGTCAAGGGAGAAATATTAGGTATTAAGAAAAATTCTGTTTCAGATGTAAGTTTAAAGCGTGATGGACTAGCCAGGTGAGGATTTTCTGATAGTTGTTTAAAATATGGAAGTTTGATTATCAGAGAAGAATCTGAGTGCTCTCAACAAGTAAATGCAGTGTTTGGGTAGCCTCATTAGCAGGATTATTCTAACAGAGAAGGTAAGAGTTTTGTTACCAGAGATCTAACTTTTAATTTTTTTGTTTGTTTGTTTTTGCTCTTTATATTTTTTCGAACAAGGTCGGTAGCCCAGGCTGGCCTCAAACTTCTTATCTAGTACAGAGGATGACTTTGAATTTCTCATCCTCCTCCCTACCCTCCTCAGTGCTGGCATTATAGGTGTTCCACCATGCTCAGTTTATAGTGGTGCTGAAAACCACCATAAAACCCAGGGCCTTAATGCATGCTAGATAAGCACTCTTACATCTCTGGTTTTTAGTTTGAAAGTTCTTAGCCGTAGACTATATATATAACTAATCCCAATCAACCATCTTACAAATGCATCCTGTTGGCTATAAGAACCAAGTAAGAACTGGGCATGGTGGAACATGCCTTTAATCCCAGCACTCCAAGCACTCCAGAGGCAGAAGCAGAGGCAGGCAGGTCTCTGTGAGGTTGAGGCCTGATCTACATAGTGAATTTCAGGGCAGCTGTGACTACAGGGAGACCCTGATTAAAAAAGTCAAAAAGTAAAAAGAAACAAGTGAGAATATTGTCTTCTTGAGCATCCTCCCACCCCGACCAGAAGACAGGATCTTTCTATGTAGCCCAGGATGGCCTGGTACCTTAGTCTTCCCAGTTTTGTATATGCATAAATTAATATGCAATTTAGTACTGCAAGTCATTAACTTTTATATATATATATATATTTTTTTTTTTTGGAGGGGGGGTTCTTTTTGTGACAGGGTTTCCCTGCCTGGAACTGTGTAGACCAGGCTGGCCTTGAACTCACAGAGATCTGCCACTTCTGCCTCCCAAGAGCTGAGATCAAAGGCGTGCACCACCACAACCTGGTCTTTTTTTTAAGTGTCTCATTATATTTATATGTATGAGTTTTGCCTGCATGTACATAAGTATACCCCATGCAAGCCTGGTGCTTGAAAAGCCTGGAAGAGGCTTTCGGTCTGCTGAAATTGGACTACAGATGGTTGTTAGCTGCCATGTGAGTGCTGGGAACCAAACCCAAGTCCTCTCCAAGAGCAGCCAGTGCTCTTAACTACTGGACCATCTCTCCAACCCCCTTGTTTCACTTTTTGTTGACATGTTGTTGTTACATTTTTTAGTTCTGAAAAAATTTTGATGAAGCTCTTTAAATTTTTTATTTATTTTTCTTTATGTGTGTTTTGTCTACATGTATGTAAGTGCACCATGGGCATGCAATGCTTATAGAGGCCAGAAGAGGACATCAGATCCCCTGGAACTGGAGTTACAGGTGGTTGTTAGCCTCCATATGAGTGCTGGGAACCAAAACCGAGTCCTCTGCAAGAGCAGCCAGTGCTCTTAACTGCTGAGCCATCTCTCCAGGCACTTGTTTTGCTTTTTTGTTTTTGTTTGTGTGTCATGTATGTACATGTGTGTATGCATGTATGGGTACACATGTGTGCAGGCCCAAGGCCAAAATCGGGTGTGATTCTTGCTTGCTCTCTACCTTTTTCATGAAGGCATGGTCTCACAATTGAGCGTGGAGCTCAGTGTTCTGGCTATTCTAGCTAACCAGCTTGTTCCAGGGGTCCCTTGTCTCTAAGTGCTGGAATTACAAGTGAGCCACCTTGCTCATCCAGCATTTACATAGATTTTGGAAATCCACACTCTGGTTCTTTAAGCATACAAGGCAAGTGCTTTATCCATTGAGCCATGTCCCCAGCTCTGTAACGTGGGTTTTTATATATGAACAGACTTTTCAGTACGATACGTGTGAAGAGTTTGAAAGAATGATTTGCAGCCCAGACCAGAGGCAAATGGGGGTTGGAGATTGAGTTGCACTCTTCAGAAGAGGACTTGCATAAGGAATTGCATGATAGAGGTATAACTCAAGAGATCAGTTGGGTAGCCTGTAGAAATATACCCAAGAAACATAATGTCAGAGGGAAATTTATTAGTTATAATGACAGGCAAGGAATTTGTCAAACCTAGTAAATTTAAGGATTGGCAATTAGGTGAACTCTTCCTATTTGCAGATACTTTTCTTACACATACTGTTTTGCTTGTTCTTATACAATCATATGAAATAGGCACTGTGATGATTTCCATTAGGAGTTCTTGATCTCAGCACTGAGTGGACCTTGCATCTCCCCCTTGTGCTCCCACAGCCACAACTGCTCAGGAGACATGAGTTACAGCCATCTCTCTTTTAGAGAGTTATTAATCATTCCTTCTCTGTGCTGTGTTTCCCTCCCAGGTCACAAGGCACTTAAAGCATTGTTGAGGTCATTGGTAGATCTTCAGGAAGAGTTGCTTTTCCAGCACCCAGACACTAGATACCTAGTAAATGGGACAAAACCCAAAGTGGAGAGGTAAGGAAGAAACAGAACTACTTGGTTCAGATGGAAACTTTTGCTGAATATTTTTGATCTGCACTTACTGCTTTGCAGTTTAGTACTGATTTGGGTTTGGGGTACCTTGAAGTTTTCTTCACATTCAGCTTCTCTTCATTTGGTTCAATTGATTTTACTCACCTCTCCTTAACAGTTGGTTATAGAAACATGTTTTTTCTCTTATTGATTTTGGGATCAAGGTCACAGAAATATGATTATGTGTTTAATTTTTAAGTTTTTAAAGATTAAAGTTTTTAAGATTTAAAGATTAGCAGTACAGGTCTGGCTCATACATATTTCTAATAATGTTTTTACAACCTCATTTCTTTTTATGGTTTGCTATCTTTAAAATTTTTTTTTTGAAACCTAAGTACTTTTGAAAGTTCCATGCATTTTTTTTTGTGTGTGTGTGTGTGTATGTGTGTGTGTGTGTGTGTGTGTGTGTCTTTTTGAGACAGGGTCTCCCTGCAGCCCCAGCTGGCCTGGAACTCACTATGGAGACCAGGCTGGCCTTGAACTCACAGAGATCCGCCTGCCTCTGCCTCCCGAGTGCTGGGACTAAAGGCATGTGCCACCATGCCCGGCCTGTTCCATGTATTTTTGATTGACCTTATAAACATTCTTTTCAAAAATGATAAAAACCATTCTCGTGTCTCTGGTGTTGCATAGTCATAATGGGTAAGATCTAAATACTTCATGTGAACCTTGTCTTTTGTTTAAGTAATGTTTCTTTACATTGGATGGAGTTCATGTTCTTACTGGTTTTCTAGTGAGGAAATTTCTAGTGAAGATGATGAATTAGTGGAGGAAAAGCCACAGAGAAAGGCCCCACTAAAGAGGAAGCTGGAGATGGAGGACCTTCCCAACTTCATGGCAAAGCGCTTTGCTGACTTTACAGTCTACAGGAACCGCACACTGCAGAAGTGGCATGATAAAACCAAACTGGCTTCTGGGAAACTGGGGAAGGTAGGTGTGTGTGTGTGTGTGTGAGTGTATGATAGACTGTTGCAACAGAAGCAGTTGTAAGAAATAAGAACTATGGCTTGTTTATATGATGCAATAGTAATCAGTTATTTATCCAAATTTGCTGAACTTCTACCACTGAAGTGCATATCATTCAATTTTAAACTTAGTAGAATGTTTTGTTCTTGAAAGGAAGCCCTGTTCAAGTGCTGAAAGTATGAAATACTTTGAACAGATTTTTAGATCGTTATTATTAAAGGAAAAGAAAGCCACACAACCTGCTGAAGACTGATGTTTTTCTTAGAGCAGCTACAGTACTGACAAACTGTCTTCTTAACAGAAAACCCCTCATGAAAACAGAATTATCTGTGTCTCTGCTGACATAGAAAGATAGAGGAGACAGTGTAGCCACCTTCAGCACTGACTTTCTATATTATCTGACGCTGGTTATTGTTGTTGCAGGATTTTGGTGCCTTTGAACGCTCAATCTTGACTCAGATTGATCATATTCTGATGGACAAAGAAAGATTACTACGAAGGACACAGACCAAGCGCTCTATCTACCGAGTTCTTGGCAAACCTGAACCAGCAGCTCAGCCTGTCCCAGAGAGTTTACCAGGAGAGCCGGTAAGAACTCTGTGATGGAGACGATTTTGGGAAGTTTCTGAGAGGCTTGTTCTGAGAAGTTGGTGAAAAAAGGAAAACAGTGCTACTTTACTAGATTGTTACAATAGGACTTTTTTTGGTTTTTTTTGGTCTTTTTGAGACAGGGTCTCCCTGTAGCCCCAAGTGGCCTGGAACTCTCGAGTTAGACCAGGCTGGCCTTGAACTCACAGAGATCTGCCTGCCTCTGCCTCCTGAGTGCTGGGATTAAAGGTGTGCACCACCACGCCTGGCTCTCAAAATCTAGTTTTTAAGAGTTAGAGGATTTTGTTTGTGATTGGTTTGAGAGCTGGGGATCAAACCCAGTGCCTCACATGCTATGTAAGCCCTCTACCGCTGAACTACATTCCATACCTTAAGATTTAAAGCTACTCTGTAGAAATGACAGTATATACATTTACATAGTGTTTGCCTTTGATTACTCCAGAAGATCCAGAAGTGGAATACTCAAATTCTTTTATTTAAAGGAAATATTTTTATTTTATTTTATTTTTTAATTTATTTTTGGGATAGAGGCTCACTGTGTAGCCCTGGCTGACCTGGAACTCACAAAGATTTGCCTGCCTTTGCCTCTCCAGTGTTGGGATTACACCCAGCACATTCTTATTTTTTAACTACAGATAAAATAGATGTCCACTTTTTTTTTAATCTCATGAGAATTTAAAATGGAAAGTAAAATTCTTTTTACTCTGGAAATTCCAATCATATGTTAATAGTTGTGACAACCTTTATGTATATAACATATATGCATATTGGCATATCTAAAATATTTTTTTATTTTTTAAAATTTAGTTTTCCATGGTTTCATTTTACACACACACACACACACACACACACACACACAAATGTGCTTTGATCATATTCTCCCCCATTATCCTCTCTTAGCTCCTTCATTCCTCCCACCAAACCCTTTCTTCTTCCCAACAAGTCTCCTTCCTAGTTCCATGTCTTTTTTGTTTGTGGCCCACTGTGTTTAATTAGGGTTGCCTGCATGAGCATGGGTGGGGGATTATTTACTTCAACAAGGATAGCTAACTTGGCTACCACTGAAGAATGTGAGTCCCCTTCTAGCAACTATTAACTGCCTATAACTCCTCAGATTTTTAATTAAATAGAATAGGTACATGTGATCTATGTAAATATGTAAAATGCTACTATATTTAAAATCTTACAGCTTTTAAAATTTACTAGATGCTTTTTTCTTACCATTATATAAAGATCTACCTCATTTTTCCTAATGTCTATAAGGAATTCCTTTGTGTCAATAGAAGCTATAGTTTAGTCACTCTGGATGTTTGTGATGTTTCCAGTTTTAGGAACAGCACTATTGGAAACATTTCTTAATATTTCTATTTGTGTGACTGTATGGGTAGATTTTTAAAACTGAAAATGCTAAAGAAAATACACTAAATCTTGATAAATGTTTCATTTTTCCTAATGTCTATAAGGAATTCCTTTGTGTCAATAGAAGCTATAGTTTAGTCACTCTGGATGTTTGTGATGTTTCCAGTTTTAGGAACAGCACTATTGGAAACATTTCTTAATATTTCTATTTGTGTGACTGTATGGGTAGATTTTTAAAACTGAAAATGCTAAAGAAAATACACTAAATCTTGATAAATGTTGCCAAATTACTTCCAAAAGGCTGCATTAATTCTGACTCCCTCCAGCTGTTTTCCCCAGTCCTGCCAGTCTTAGAGGTGAAACATAGTCTATTCTTATTTTAATATGTATGTATTTCATTACAGTGAGGTTAAACATACTTTCCTATAATTGTGCTTCTTTAGTCTGTCAACTGCCTGTTAATCTTCCTCCTTCCAATCCCTTTTTTTGGAGACCATAGGGCCTGGACTGGCCTTGAACTTGAGATCCTCCTGTCTTAGCTTTCCCAGTGTTACGATTACAGGCGAGCTGCACTTGCTTTTTAAATATTTTTTTTTTTAATTTTTATTTTATGTGTATGTGTATATTGCCTGTATGTAGGTAAGTGCACCCTTGTCATACAATGCCTGCGGAGGACAGAAAAGGCTGTCAGATTCCCTGGAGCTGGAGTTAGAACAGTTGTTAGCTGCCATGTGGGTGGTGGGATTCAAACTCGGGTTTTCTGCAAGAACAATCAGTGTTCTTAACTACTGAGCCATCTTTCCAGGCCTGCACTTAATTTTTAATTTATTTTTTATTTTTTTAAAAGTTCATTATATCTTGAAGGGAAATGTGCTTTGACTGTTAGACATACTGTTTGTAGCTAGGTTACTTTGACAACTTGGCTGGGATTCACTTCTTTTTTTACTTCTTATTGACCTAGGAGGTCATTCCTCAAGTCCCTGCCAATGCTCACCTGAAGGACTTAGATGAAGAAATATTTGATGATGATGACTTTTACCACCAGGTATGATTTTACATGTTCTTTTGTTACAAACCAGGTTTTAGCATTTTAAAACAGCTGATAGAATTCTCTGAACAAAAGGTAGCTTATTTTGGAGTCAGAGGAGAAGTTAGAACTCTTACATTCAGGATCAGCTTACTACATCATTCTGGATTGTTGGTTTTCTTTGGTTTGTATTTTTGTTTTGAAGTGAAAACAGCTGTAGCTATATTTTTGAGTGTTGCTCTAGTGTAAAGTATCTGTAAAATAGTTTTAGCTTCTTTGAATCAGGTGATTTTTATTTTCTCTGCTGCTGGGTGGTATTTTGTTTGTTTTTTTCAGTTTTTGAGACAGTCTCACTATGTACCAGCCTCAAATTGGTAGTCCTGTTTCAGTCCCGAGTGCTGGGAATCATAGGTGTGCATTACTCAGCCTTTTCTGCCCCCTGCCCCTCCAACTGGGTGTCAAACCCAGAACCTTGTATGAGGGCTGGGATCCTAGAAGTCTTGAGTTGTACTTTTGGTTCTATAACTGAATTCAGTCATATATATATATAGTCAGTTAAGCCTATATTGCAAATGTCTGTTATTGACTTTCTGTCAGTTGTTTCAAAGAATTGGTAAAAGTTGAAGGTTTGATTTTTGTTTTTTTGTTTGGCTTTTTTGAAACAGTCTCATAGATTTGAAATCCTGCCTCCACCTCCCATGTGCTGAGATTACAGAGATGTGCCACCTATACCCAGCTCAGTTCTCATTGTCTCATCACAAAAGTTGGCCCAGTTCTTTTCCTGACATTATCTACTGGAGTGCTGTTCTTTTTGATAATGCTAGTGCTTGTTTAGGTGAACTAAACATTTGGGCTATTCTGAAGGGCTAAAATAACTAACTGTATTTCTTAATATCTCTTTCCTTCCCCCTTCTCTTCCTCTTTTCCCACTTTCTCTCCCTCTTCTTTCCCCCCTCCTTTTTTTGAGACAGAGTCTCACTGTGTAGCTCTGGCTGGTTTGGAACTCCCAGTAAATCTGCCTGCTTCTGCCTCCTAAGGTGTGTGCCACCATACCTTGCTTTCTTGAATCGCTTGATAATTGTGCTTAATAATGAAATGTGCTCTTGGTTAGTGGAGAACTGAGGATGCTGCTCACCAGTGATAGACTGTATTTTGTTTAGCTGTTGCTAATCTAAATAAAATTCTTTGCTGAACTTTTGGTTTAATTTTGCCTGAGAATTTGGAGCTGCTTGTTGAAGGTTTAGTTGCAGTTGTTGTATTTTGCATATGAATTTGCAGGAAGGACCCTCGTAGAAAAATTACAGGTAAAACCAGAACAAGGGATCTGTATGGGATACCTCTGCTTCCCCTGTAAAAAGAGACTTTTTATTAACCTTTTTATTCATTTTTTTAAATATTTGATAAAATTGTTGCCATAAATGAGTGTAGGAAGCATGCTGAGAGGATGAAGAGCATTGGTGTGGTCTCAGCCTCTCCAGGCGGAGGTCTTGATTCTTTTTCCTGTTCTTAAACCCATCTGTCAGGAGATTAGGGAACTCTCTTTTGTTCTGGAGTGTGAGAGGAAGTACCCGAGATGGGATATTAATGCTGTCTAATTGTGTAAGATCATGGGAGACAATCAGAAATCTTCCAGTCCTCATTAATTGAAGTGTACATTGCTGGGTGAAAAGTGCATCATAAGTTAGACTTAATAAGGTAAACTGAAATTACTGGGGAGAGACTGATTCTACTGGCTAGTCTTGGCTGATCCTTCCTTCCTTCCTTCCTTCCTTCCTTCCGTCCTTCCTTCCTTCCTCCCTTCCTTCCTTCCTTCTTTCTTTCTTTCTTTCTTTCTTTCTTTCTTTCTTTCTTTCTTTCTTTCTTTCTTTCTTTCTCTTGAAGGTCTGTGTAAGAAATGGCATTGCTTGATGGGCCCTTCATCCCAATTAATAATTTTAACTTCGATAAATTCTTATTTCAGAGTTATGACTAGTCACATCTTAGCTTTTCCCCTTGCTGGTTAATTGGGGTGCTGAGGTTAATCTAAATTAAAACTTAAACTAATAGAGGTCAGCAAGGCAGCTGAAGTACCTGAGTGAAACAAATGGGGCTGCCAGGCACAACTTTATCTTGGCTGTTTCCCAAGAGGGAAGTGGCAGCAAATTGGAGTTGTTTCAGCCTTCTGTAGAGGTGAATGATGGGTGACACTTGTTAATGTACAGCATCTCCGGAAGCTTTCCAGATTGCTTTGCTGCTGTACCAACTGCTGCCATTCGTGCACACTCAGTAGGGGCTAGACCAGTTGCCAACATCTGGCAGCACAGCAAGGCACGGGTGCAAGTTCTGAAACCCCACAGATTCTAAATATGGTGCTTAGAACTATGCAGGCTTTAATCACTTACCACTCTCTGGCAGCAGACTACGACAGCTTATCCTAGCCTCGTACATCACATCCCGACATCTGCTGAGCTGCAAGGCAGCTGCACATTCATTTTCTTTTCTTGCCTTTTCTCTTTGCTTCCTATTCCTCTTCTACTCACTGCCTCCTCAGTCCCCCATCTCCTCCTCCCTTCAGTTTTCCCTGCCCTCCCCAGTATGCTGCTTGTGAGAGATGATCTGTGAAGATTACTGCTTCATTGTGTGCAAGTAATTGTGGTGATGCCAGGCCCTTGACAGACACAGCATAGCACCTGTTCTGCTGACCTGGTTAATTTCTTCTGTTGAGTGGGATTTGCCAGAGATTGGAACTGAAGCCAATTCAATGATAAGGCTAAAGAAAATGGCTGTATGTTTTCTGTCACCTCCCAATTAAATTGGCTTCATAAAGTGCTTTCCTTTATTTGTCAGGGTAGTAAGCCTGAGCTAAGTGTTGCATTCAGAAGGGGTACAATATCTTACAATAGGCCCGTGAGTTTCTTTTATTTTCTTTCCCCTCTTTTGTCTTTTTAAAATATGGTCATGTGGATGAGGTGAACAGTGAATATAATACATTTCACCTTTTTTTTTTTTTATATATACTTGAGGCTAAACTCTTTGGGTCCATGTTTTATAAGGAAGAGATTATAGCCACATTGAATTTTAATGTTCCATTGTAAGGGTTTAAAGGCTTACTTGGTTAATTCAGGTATTAGGAGGCTGTGTAAATGCCCTAACTACTGTGAATGATGTGTGAGGTCAGATGCCCCCACACCTGCACACATATTCATTTCACTCTCACTCTTTGTTTCTTAATAGGCCTTGAACTTTAAAAACATGCCTACATTATTTATTTGATAATGGTGCAGGTATATATGTATGTTTAGGCATGAATGTGTATTTATACATTTATAAAAAGGGGACATGAAAGACAGTGTCAGATACCATAAATCTCATTTTAACTTTAATTTTCTTTCTTTTTTTTTTGCCCCCCTTTGAAACAAAGTCTCACTATGTAGTCCTGGCTGGTCTGGAACTTGCTTTGTAGACCAGGCTGGCTTCAAATTTGAAGAGACCTGCTTACCTCTGCCTCCTGAGTGTTGGAGGCGTGCACCACATTGCCTGGCACCACCACCACTCCTCCTCTTCCTCCTCCTCCTCCTCTTCCTCTTCCTCCTCCTCCTCTTCCTCCCCCTCTTCCTCCCCTCTTTCCCTTCTCTTCCCCCCCCCCCCCTTCCCTCCTTCCTCTTCCT